CATTTTGTAACCAACCATGAGAAGATTTTGAAGCACAGAGAAGGGATTAATGGCCAAGGAGTTGATGCCAAAGGTCTTGGATCATTAACACCACCTAGTCAGTGATTCTCCCAGGAAATACCTGAAGCCACGCATTATGGTAGTAATAAGTCATTAAAAAAAAAAAAATAAATTTTTCCATCTATGAGCAGCTGGTTTTTGACCAGGGGTCAAAAGTTTATTCAACAAATGGCATTAGCAAACAAAACTGGGTGTTTGTAGATAGTAATAGAGGATTCATCTTACACTATCACAAAACCAAAATGGATCAAAGACTATATGTTAAAGCCAGGAGTATAAAGCTCCTGGAAGACAATACAGGTGGAAAATTATGGAAACTAGTATTTTTTAGTAACAGATTCTCAAACACAAATATATTAAAAAGGAAAGATAAGTCATGTAACTGGGACACCCTAAAAATGAAATACTCATATTCATAAAAAAACCTGTATCAAAACAGTGAAAAAGAGAACCTACAGACTAGGGGAAAAATCTGGAAAGAATACATTTGATAAGGGTCTGATTGTTAACAACAAAAGATAAACAACCCTATTATAACTGAGCAAAATACATGAATATCTGAATGAAGAAGACAGTCAAGCAGCCAACATACATACTAAAAAGATGCTTACGATCTGCCACCAGAGAGACTAAAAGAAAAACTACAATGAGATACCAATTCACCTTGACTAAAATAGTCCTGACTTTAAATTGCTAATAACAAATGTTGGTGAGGTTGTTAGACCAATAAACACCATGAAGAATGGAAAAAGGAAGGAAGGTGTCAAGAATTTCCACCTACTTGGATCTCAAATCAATTCTTACAGAAGTAGTGGTCAAGAAATCAAACAACAAATTGTACTCAGTATATCTGCTCTGAAGGATGGACCTCTCTAAAATAACAAACCTTAAAGATGTCACTTTGAGGACTGGAGAGTACCTGACCCAAGTCATGATATTTTCAAACACTTCCGTTACATTTGGAAAGGTGGAGGATCAGCTAAAGAGAGGCAGACCCTCAACGAGATGCACTGACACGGTGGCTGCGCCAATGGGATTAGGTGCATCAGAGATGATGATAAAGATGGTACAAGAAAGGACAGGGCTCAGATCTGTTGTTCCTAAGATTGTTTTGAGTTGTACTTGAGTCAACAGCACTCAACAACAAGAACCACCACCACAAATGCATGTGAAAGTTGGACAATGAATATGAAGACCAAAAGGGAAACGATGTCTTTTAATTATGGTGCTGGTGAAGTATACAGAATGCACCATACACTGCCAAAAGAACAAGCAAAATATGTCTTGGAAGAAATGCAGTCAGAACGCTCCTGAAAAGTGAGGATGGAGAGATATACTTTGGACAAGTTATCCTGATGTTCCTGAAGATGTCTTACACTTGGAAAAAGTTAGCAGAAAACAGGACGATTCAATGAGACAGAATATGCCAAAAGGGGCTCACATACAGAAGTAATTCTGTAAATGGCACAAGACTGGGGGGTGTTTTGCTCTTTTGTTGCTATCAGTTGAAGCCAATTTGAGGTATCCAAAATTAACAATGCTCACTGAAGCATTAACCACCTAAAGCATTATCATCATAAAGACAGAAATGATTTTACTCCCATCAACAAACGAATGGATAAACAGACTCTGGCACATACACATAGGGGAATACTATGCAGGTGTAAAGAATAATGATGAGCTCTCAAAATATACTTAATGGCAATGAGTTTGGCAAGCACTGTACTGATTGAAATCAAGCAATCCATCAATCACAAAAAAATAAATATAAAAATCAGGATCAAATCACAAACAGAGTCAAAGTATGATCTTACAATTGCAAAAATCCAGAAAGCAACACTGTTTGGTGGTTTAGCAGGGATAGAAAGGAGAAGGAAGTAGGACCATTTTTTCGCTATCAGACACATGCTAGTTTTGCTGTGGATGAAGTCAGCACAACCTAACCAAGGTAAAAGACAAACTAAGAAGTTCCCAAGAATAAGGGATGACTGTGGTAAAGGCACAGAAGATAGAATTTCACAGTTTCAATAAAAACACCAAATTCACTGCTGTTAATTTTATTTTACCTCACAGCAACTCTGCAGGACAGAGTGTAAGTGTCCCATAGGATTTCCAAGACCATCTCTGCAGAAGCTGACCTTTCTCCCACGGAGTGGCTGATGGGTCTGAATTGCCTATTTTTAGGTCAGCTGCTGAACATTTTGACTACTGTTCAGCAGGGCTCCTACAGTAACAGGCACTCTACAAAATCAGCTCGTTGCCCTTGAGTCACAATCGACTCATAGCTGAGCCCCAACAAGTTTTCAGAGGCTTAAGTCGTGCCGGAGGATGCTGCTCATTCATCTTTATCCCGAGGAGCAGCTGATGGGATTTGGATTGCCTGCCTATTTGGAGTTGGCATCACAACATCTTACCCATTAGGCCACCAGACCTCCCTACAACAACCAACAATCAGAAAAATACGTGTGTCCATCAGCATAAGCACGAATGAGTGTAAGGGTGCGTAAGACAAGACAGCCTCCAGGAAATGCCTCTCGATCAGTTTGAACTCACCAGCTGCGCTGAAGGTGGAAAGATGGACAGCTACAAGTCAGTTCCAGCTTGACAGCAACAAGTGAGGGATATGTACAATTGTTTCTACAAACAGACATATGTTTGTGTGTACTGCATATGCTGCTGTTGTTGTATACTATGCAGTCAGAAATGACCCATAGCTGACCCTCTAGCAGGTTTTCAGAGGCAGTAAATCACGTGGGATCTGACTGCCCATCTTTCTCCCATGGAGAAGCTAGTGGACTCAAACACGAACCTTTGGGAAGTTACTTCCTAGACATAACCAATTACCTTGTGGGTTGAGTTACTAAAACTGAGGGCTTAGAGCTCCTGTCTTGGGAAGACAAGAGTCAAATTCAATCAAATAGCAAAACGTAGTCCAAAATGATACAGCTCTATGACCTAGTTTGGCAAGTCCTGTCTAGGGTCTTAGATGACTGAGAATGGCCATTTGAGATACAACTATTGGTCTCTACATGTCTCTCACAAAACCAAATAGGAAACCAAAGACTATAATGATGAAAGTAGTCTACAACATCATCTAAAGACCAGAAAAAACTGAACGGGACCTGGCTACCATCACCAACCATTAGATTAAGTACAAAAGAGAGAAAAACATAAGACAAATAATATATTCCTAAAAAAATCCTGTAGAGATGAGGAATGAGGAGTTTCCAAGACTACCTTACTGGGACAGTCAGTACTCAGTACTGCCACCAGTCATATCAGCCAAAACACAGAGCAGCTCATAAATAAATAATAGCACCTGTGAATACTGTGCTCCTTTAAATAGTCACCTAACACAAAGATCATAAGGGAAAATGAAGGGGGTGAGAAAGACACAAGAAAGCCAGATTCACCAAAACAGAACCACCAGAATGAAAATAATGAGAATACATGGTGGCTTGGACCCTGCAGAGAGGCACTGTCTTTGGGCTAGCAGTGCAACTCCCTCCAGAATACACCATTAGAGATTTTGAGTCAAAGGAATAGAGTTTCCAAGGAGAGTCCAACAGGCTAAGTAAAATTTTTCTAGAAATCACAATATATTAAATGGTTTACTTTCCTTTCCCTCAATGTGATGTGATTATCTCCTTAGAGTGCTATAAAGAATGATTTTGAAGTACCATTTTTGCATGCCTGATTTTTTTCAGGAAATTATTTCTGAATAAGAAATTAACAGCCAATCTATCCCTTTAATTGTTAACTTACACATAGATGGCTCAGATCTACTCATATCAAGTCACATGTTACCTCTCCTCCCTACTATCCTTTTCTCCTTAAGTCTTTTAATATTAATGGTCTATGGAATTCACCTGCAGTAATAAAAGTAGCAGTGGAGAATGAAGAGATGTAGAATGTTGCTCATTATGTTTGAGAATCAATTAAATGCTGATCTTAACAAAAGAAAAAAGTAAGTATGAAATAATTCCAGTAAGTCCATTCCCGTAAAGTTCAGCTTTGAGGAAGTGGCATCTCCTACCTGAGTTATCATCTGTAAGACAGATCTGTAAACTGTAACTTGAGGGCCAAATCTGGCCCATTATTTGTTTATTTAAAGTCCATCAGCCAATGATGGGTTGCAACCCACATTCTGTTGCATCCTCTAACCTATATCTATATATCTAATATTTATATATATGTATTTTGGGGGGAGGAATGCTTACATTTCTGGTGGTGTTATACGCATTTGAGTCTACTATGACTCACAGTGACCCTATACACACTAGCTCTGAACTCTATCCTGAGCCAATCTCTCTGACACACTTATTCTCATTACCCCAGTCCCTGTGTCAATCCACCTCATCAGGAGTATTCCTCTCCTGCCCTGTCCCTCTAACCCTTCCAAGCATGATGTCTTTCTCCAAGGACTTACTGGTTAAAACAAAAAATTAAAAAAACTATTATTTTGTGACACATGAAAGTTAACTAAAATTCAAATTTCAGTATCTATGTTTAAACTTTGATGAGAACATAGCTATACTTGTTTGTTTACATATAGTCTGTGGCTGACTCTGTATTACAACAGCAAAAAGAACTGCTGCAAGATTTACCTTTAGTGGTCTTTTCTAGGAATTTAATATTTATTTTACATTTTTTTCTCTTCTGGGTACTTAATGTAGTGGTTGGTAGGGGTGGCCAGTTCCTACCCAGTTTTTCTCGTTTAATTATCTGCAAGGCTGTACTAAACATTAATATTTGCCTCTTATAGAAAGCTTGTCAGCCTTGTTTGATACTAGGGTTGCTCTTTGCAAGGAACACACAGTTTCAATGAGAATGAACATATTTATCCAATCACTTAAGTCTCTGTGGAGAAAAAAACCCAGCGCCAAATCTTTGATGGATATGGATTAGTACTGTTGTGAATGAACACATAACAAACTCACCTGGTCACCAGGCTCAAAGCTCATCTCCTCCTTCTCAGTTTTCAAAGCTATTAATTTTGTGTTACTGGCAGGATCTGTCTTACTGTCCAGTCGCTCAAGTTTGGGGGTGATTTCTGGTAAACCAATATCTTTAGTATCATCTTTATCTAGCAAGTAGCGAAGTAGTGCATTTTCTTTTTTCTTAGGGCTCACTGGCTCCTGTTTAATAGTCACTTCTGAACCCGGAGCTGTGCTGCTGGACTCCTGGTTCAACTCTTTGCCTGTGGCTTCTGCGATTAACTTAGTCAAGTCCACAGGGGAACTGCTGTCCTGTAAGAGTCTGTGCAAAATTTTATGCTTCTCCTTGAGTGAAGTCCCATGTGTTGACCCGGAACCAGGCAAGCTACTCGTGGAGTCCTTGTTTGCGTCCGACAAAGAAGTGGCTAAGGGCGAAGGCTCCATCTGATCCGATTTGGTGGTCAACAGCTGCAGGAGTTTGGTCTGCCCTTTGCTGTCATGCAGTCTGCTCTGTCCATCAGGCCTCTCGCTGCTCCCAGGCTGGGGCAGGTTGGAATCATTTGTTTCCTTCTGCTCCCCAGGATGGCAGCTGCCCTCTGCTTGTCCAGTTGTACCTTCAGATGGCTCCCCATAAAGTCCAAAACAATCTTTGGAGTCTAAGCTTCCCATCTTGCTAAGTGGGGGAGGATTCATATTAACTGGGGAGTTTTGCAAATTACCCATCTTTAGGTCCGGGGAAGCCAACGATGACCCTAATGAGACCCCATGACCCTCACTGAGGGCCTGAAGTGCATTGAGGGAACTGTTGGTGTAACTATGGCTATTTCCTGTGCTGCTGCAAATTCCCACAGGGGAATGCAAACTTCCTGCAGGGGAAAACTGACTGGGTGGGATTCGAGGGCTTCCAGCCACTCCAGGGCTCATGCGATGCCTCGGGGAAAGCATGGAGTTGGGCTGTCCTGGGTTCATCCCAGGGCTGCTTTGTGAGGGACTGTTCATTTTGAGTGCATAGTTACTACCCTGAGGAGTGGCTGCTTGCATGCTTGACACATGGTTCATTCCCCCAGAACCACCGAACCTGCTCATGGGCATGCCCATTTGTTCCTTTGGGCCATTTATGGGAAAATTTATATTGCTACTGAGGGTCATGTCCTGACCTGGGTTCCCACTGCACATGGCCTGATGGGCAGGGCTGCCAGAGCTAATTGCATTCAATGGCTTCCCCATAGCTTGTCCAGTCAGATCCGGATTCATTACACAAACATTCTGCTCTCTGTATGAGGGGGGAAAAAAATACGTTAAAAGGAAAAGTACTTAGTAAAGGTGCTAGTAATTTTAAAAACCAAAATGGTTTCTTTCTTTAAAGAACAAACTACATTTAAAGGAATGGTAATACTTTGATGAAACCATCTGCAATTGCAGACAAGACTGAACAAGCACACTTCTGGACCAAAAGGGGTATTTTTCTGTCAATTCATTAAGATGTCTGTGGTTTTCCAGAAGAGCTGTGTTTCAATCTGATTACAACTACACTGAAATTGCAGTTTTTAGATAAGACATTAGCGGGTTAAAACGACACATCTTTCTCATTTTACAGTTCATAATCACGGACAACTGAAAGCTTGTTCATCTTTAAGAAGTGACCTAAACAATTATCCCATTGCTATTGAGTCAGTTACAATGCACTGGGACCCTTCATTCAGTTTCCAACACTGTAGATCTTATTGGAAGAGATTGTGTCTTTTTCTCCTGCAGAGCAGCTGGGAGATGCAAACTGATAACCTTTGAGTTTGCAGTGCAACCTATAATACACCACACATCAGAGCTCCTTATGGCTATAATTAATTACTTGCCAAATTCCAATTCCTAACAATAGACACATCTGTAAGCCTGCAGTGCTCTGATATGTACTACTTGGCTCATGATAAAAAGCAAACTTAAGGGGGGAAACTTCACCCCTAACTATTAGAAACTGCTAGTTCTAGAGCCAACAAAGTTGCTGAACTGTTTGTTCAGTGTTAAGAGTGCTTTGTTAAGCAGATTTCCACTCACAGCCCCCCAACTCCTTTGCAAGTCAGAGCCTGAGCTTCTAAGACAGACAATTTGGCTGGGAGGCAGCTTTGGAGTGACCTTTTTGTGTGATTTGATTCTCCTGCTCCTAGACAATGCCAATCCATCTCCTTACTAATGACTCAAAGCAGGTTTTGAAGTGAGATGACTTTCTAAGTCTCGTGAGCTTCAATTTATACAGACCGACCAGTCACTGGTGAGTTACCAAAAATGTGTTAAAAAATCCAAACAATACAAATTTCACAAACTGTCAAACATCAGCTTTAAGTTAGGTGAGTGAAATTTGGCACATCTGTAACCACTTTCAAATTGTTTCAGATTTATTAACAGCTGGCAAACAGAGCTGCCTTTAAAAAAAATTATATCTAAATAAAAAAGAAATAATTGAGAAAGGTAATAAAATGTCTTCTTTAACCAGAGAACTTTATATATCTTCTGAAAGCACATGCATAAATATTTATATCAGCTTGAAATTTAATCATCTTCCTACACTGGTGCTCTCAAACAATAAAATTTCCAACATTTACTTTCAAAACCAACCATTTATTTTCATTTATTAATGGAAATGTTTCCAAGTCAAGAAGTTAATTTAAATGTGAAAACAAAAATCTGAAATATTCTAAGTACATACATTTGAAATTTTCAATTTTAAGTACATTGGAACAGAAATCACACTACTGGCTTCAACAGTCCTGCTCTGCATATCCTCCTACTATGAAGTGATTAATTTCCCTTTCTCAATGTTCACTGCTAGCCTTGCATTCTTCTAGCTCCATCTAAAAATCACTAAAGTTAAGAATAAAATTCAAAGGGCAGCCCTACCTTGCCAGCACTATACATTGTATTTTAGCCAGCAATTAACAGCAATTGTATTTTCTATGTACATTCTTCATTCCTGGAGTTGATAAACAGAAAAGTCTAACAAGTTGGAAAACCTTTAGGATAATCTGTTGCTTCTATAGCACTTCTTCTTAATGTGGGAAGGGCAAGGAATTCTTAGAGCTGGGATTACCTGTGAAGCATATGTAAAGATATTACGAGCTGAGGTTCATTAGTAGTCTGAGAACGGATGAGCTTGCTCTTCGTTTGGGCAGCAACAAGAGTGCCGTCGGACAAGGAAAAACGATAGATTTGACTGAATGCCAGTCCTTGTCTGAGCACTGCAAACAAGCAAGGAAACAGAATGCATGTTTGGGGGGGGGAAACGGGAGGAGGCACAGGAGGCATAACAACACTAATTAACCTCATAAAATTTAATATTTCCTTGCCAACATGTTAAGAGAGTTCTAAGTAATAATATTCCATGCCATTAAAACATTCCATATACTTTAAGTACATTTACTTTACATCCAAAATGATAATAAATTCAATGTACTGTTTTTCAAGAGGCTTACACTCCCAAACATTATTCTCTCCTAAGTCTTAAGTACCATGAAATATCAGAGTGTAAATGGCTTATTAGTTCAAAAGAAGCTTTACAATGATATATTTAAAATGTAAAAAAACAATGAACATTTGGGCTGTTTCCATGTTCTTGCGATGGTGAATGCTGCTGCTATGAACGCTGGCATACAAATCTCCATTTGTGTCTTAGTTCTAATATTCTTGTTATTCTTATAATTTTCTAATATTCCTAGCAGTGAAAGAGTTGGGTCATAACGGTGTTTCTATGCTTAACTTTTTGAGGGAACATCAAACTGCCTTCCAGAGTGGTTGTACCATTTTACAATCCCACAACAGTGTTTTAGAGTTACCACCTCTTAGACATCCTCTCCAACATCTACTCTTGCTAAATTTAGTCCAACCAAAATTGAATAGATAGAGAAACTGTGGTACATTCTAGCAAGAGAATACTATGCAGTACTCAGGAGCAATGATTCCGAAAAATACTACATAACTTGGGAGCGACTGGAGAACATTATGCTGAGTGAACTAACTCACTCTCATAACGACAAATACTGCATAAAACCATTACTGTAAAAATAGAAGGGTAACTAGTTAAAACTTGTATGGGGGGATTTGTAGGGAAGGGTGAGAGCAGAGGGGTGAGGATGGGTAAGGGCAAAACAACAGAGTTGCACAATTTGGGGGGCAGAGGGAGGGGGTAAAGAATCTGGTAGAGACTTGAAAAGACAGGGTAATGATGGGCAAGGTTCAATGGTGATTAGTTTTATAAAACACAATGCATACACGCTTTGAAATACAATGTATATGAACTCTGCAAGCAAATCACTATAAAACTAAAACAAAACAAATCAAAAAAACCCAAAATCAAACCACCCATAAAACCAAACCTAACCCCTAAGAATCACAAACCAATGAACAAACATGATTCCAGTAGAGTGTATAATAATTTCCCTTTATAACAACAGAAATACAATATGTTGTATTAAATGTGATACTCTCAGAATATTCATCTGTAAGTTACACACTGTTCAAGTTATGATTTCACACTACTTTACACCAATTCTGTTTCTCACTGTATAAGAATTATTATTTCTGTGGTTAAGACAACAGGGCATAAAGGTATACAGTCAGAAGAATTTTTTCAGAGGGTAAAAAAAGCAAAACAGAAATAGCTAGTCTTTGTGACATGCAATCAGTTTAAGTTCTGCATAAGGAATCTAGTGCTGATAATACCAAAAAAGATAAAACAAATCAACTAATTAACAAATTAACATAATAATCTTAAATACTTTTCATATTTATCTTTTAAAACTTTTAAAAACTAGTCTCACAGTGCATATAAAAAATGAAAATTCAGTTGAGAAAAAAGTAGTCACATATTTTAGTTTCTTCTTATACTGTTTTAGGAAGTTGTACAAATGGTGTAACACTCAGCTGTTTACCAAAATGTTATCAAGTTCAAGGCCACAGAGAGGCACTTGGGAAGACAGGTCTGGCTATCTCCTTGTGAAGGGTTATAGCCAGAAAAACTTTACACAGTGCAGTTTTAGCACATGGAGTTGTCATGAATGGGAATCAAATTGACAGCAAATGGCTTGGTTTTCCATAATGTCTTAAGAAAACTAACCCGTTTCTACCACATAATCTTCAGTTACCAAACCTAAACTCACTGTTACGGAGTCATTTTTGACTCAGCAACCCTGAAGGACAGAGTTGAACTGCCTCTTCAGGTTCCCAAGGTTTTAAATCCTTACAGATGCAGACCATCGCCTATTCTCCACATTCAGTGGCTCGTGGGTTCGAAGGATCAAACTTCCGGCCAGTCCCTGAGCCTTAACCACTGTGGCACCAAGGCAGACAAGCTTTAAAGCATCTGTGCACATTCACTGCACTCCAAAATTAAAGTTTTCCATGTATTGTGGCAGATGATATGCATACAACGTAGATTCTGACTTCCTGGTAAAAATTCATTTTGGACAATTTGCCAACCATTTTCTGGTAGCATGAAGTTACTTGGAAGTAACAGCATAGAAATTAATTAATATACATATGTGTATCTTGCTTGACATATTAAGTTTGCTGCTCAAATTCTATTTGTATAGAATTTTTTAAATAAGACTTCTATTTCCATGGTGGTAGTTTTAGAATATTATATGATTTTGTCTATGATTCCTAAAGATTTTTTCAATTTCATTTGGTTTGTACCAAACATCTCTGCTAGATTGTTATTTTGTGTAAGCATCCACTTAAAAGGAGTTAGGACAGTCACTCATTTAAACAGAGTTTCCTAGGAAATGATTTTTCTATAGAAATGATCACTCACAACTTACCTCTTTCATATACTTGGATGTCTACATGGAGTCTTCCTTCAGTGGGTCCTATATATTTGTATCTAATACAGTGTCCGGTATATATGTATATACTTTCTTGTAAGAACAAGAGGACAATTTCGGGAATTGTCTACAGAATTAAATGCAGGGCACTGAGCTAAGCAAACAAGGATACTGAACATGTCTGCTCACAGTAACACTTTTTGGGTTTTTATTTTTTAGTTATTTTTATTTTAAAACAGACCTAGAAAAACATGTTAAATATTGATTTCTGCCAAACACACTATGCATATTTCTTCTAACTAAAAGAAAAATGCTGAGAAACACAAATTGTTGGTATTCTTTTTTTTTTTAAATTATTTTGTGTGTGTATACCGTCAAATCAGATCTGACTGGTACAGGAGGATATTGCTCCTCCTTCTCCGGCAGAGCATCTAGTGGATTCAAACTGTGTACCTCTGGGATTTCAGTGCAGCTTCTTGCCACTAGGCCACCAGAGCAAATTGTTGGTATTCTTAAAAGAATATCACATGGCTAAGGTGAAGAAATGAATGAGAGCAGTAATAAGCTATCATTTGTGCTTTCTGAGCCATAAAGTATACCGTTTAAAAACAAATTCTGTAGTACAAAGTCATAGTGCATATTCAACAGAAGATAACCTAAAACTGTACTCTCAATCATTAAGCAGAGTAATTAGGTATCCCACATTGCCTTCCGTTCTTGCTGCTCTAAAATACCTTGAAGCATCTTAACCAAGCACATCTTGCCCCCATCCCCATATCCAGTACCTAGCAGAGGAGAATCACAAGTCAAGGAAGAGAAAAAGCTCTTCTCCCTCATTCTCTGAACACAGTACTTTCTAAAGCAAGGGAATTCTCTTGGGTCTTGATCTATTAACACAAAGTTGAAACACGCATGAGAAAAAAGTGGTTTTGCAGAAAGAACTTTTGGAGCCATATGACAGTGCTGGCAGGCCTGGTGCTGCCACTATCACCACTGTACCAGTGCCACTAGACAAGTGCTACTTCCGTGGCGATGGAGCATCCTGAGCCTGTCATTTCACTTGGCTCAATGTCCACAACTGTACAAGCAGCCCTAAAGCCACCTCCTTCATAGACGTGAGTCTATGTGTTTGTGAGGATTAATTCATTAATGTAAAGAAAGCACAATGCCAGACAAGACTAACAGTGCAATAAGAGCTCATTATTGGTGAAATATGAGTCTGAAGTTTTGAGTTTAGTTCCTGTCACTGAAGTAATTCATTGTATGACCTCAGATAAGCCACAACATCGGTCTGGACCTTGTTGGCCTAAATCTAAGTAATTTGTGCAGGTTATCATTTTGAAGGAGGGTTTGGATCCCATTGCTATCTTTACTAGTAATTTATTTGATCTTGCAAATTTAGTTTTATTCTTATTTCTACGTTTTCCTTATGATTCAGATAATATACTTTTGATATTAGATGGTATACCTTATTAGTAAAAAGTCCTCAGAAAAAAAGTAAATGATCCTTTCCCCTTTAGTTTTGTCTGTCTGTCTATGTGAAATTATTTCCCATTGCTCTTCTCGCCTACAAATTTGTCTGTCAGGTTTGCCTTTAGATGATAGCATCTTCCAGACCAGGCAACTCAGGTACCTATAAATCATGAAGGGTGGTGAGATCCAATCTCCAGAGATGCACTTAAAAAAAAAATATAACCGTTTAAAATGACCAGAGGGAGCAAGTATCAATTAATAAGAATAAAACATTCTTTAGAGATACTTACCTTCATGATGATGCCGCTTAGCATAGGATAAAGACTCCCCTTCATGCTGGGCATGGAACTTCTGAATGCATCTCCTCACCAGATCCTCCCAGCCTGGTTTCATGGCCGCCCTCATGGTGCTGGTATCCAGCGAAGTGATCTTGCCTGTAAATAATAGCAGGCTTTACATAATCAGACTAATAAATTCTCTGAAACATTTACCTGAGAAATAATCACCATTACCAGCTCCTTCACATTTTCTCAAAAATACTTTTTTGCCATTACAGGTAAGTAAGTATCCTACAAAGAGTTCCTCAGGGGACACTGGGGAGAACAACTAACGAATGGGACATGTACCTTGGAGATCCTGGCGAGTAGTAAAACTTTCTGATGAGGGAAGAACCGGTCTTTCCTTCATTGGAACTCTTCTTGCCACACATATCAAGCAGGACTGCAAATCTTAAATCATAAAGTAGTTATATTCATATTAGGTTTTTGGATTTTTTAAGCAATACAAGCAAACCAAAATGTAAGTATGACAACACACTCTTCTAAACCAGTAAAACAGAGCAACAACATATTACATGCTTTTTGCTTATTTTGTTTCTCACTGGCCCTTTTCTCTCCTCAACTCAAGTGGGAAGCACTGGGGAGTGGAGAGGGTATACTATGCTTAGTGAGAGGGGGAAGCTACCTTACAAAACACATCATAAAAACCTACTACTTTAACAATCAAACCCACTGCCTCTAGGTGAATGGACTCCCACTCATGTGGGCCTCCATCCAGTCTCTGAGGCTTCTGGAGGAGAGGAGACTGCCTATCTTTCCCCCTTGTAACAGCTGGTGGATTGAAATGCAGGTCTTCTCATTAACCACCCAACACTTACACATTATGTAACCAGGGCTTTCCCTCTATTGCTATAGAGTATATTAACATGGAACTCTCTCTCTAGTAATGACTGGAAAAAAGACTATTCTTTATTAAATGGCTGATAGAAACAACATGTTTAATTCATACTAAAAGACAAAAACGATGACATCCAAAATTTGATGTTCTGCTTTGCGAAGAGTTTGCTTTTTGAATTTTAAGTTTCCCCAAAGATACAGGGAAAATACACTATCTTCTAAAGTATGTAAGTGACTTTACAATGGCAATATGCAACTGAAAACTGGAAGACTATAAAATGAGTGCAGAATATACCTCACAGTATCTGGAAAATGCAGTGTAAACCATAAACAGCCTCATTCCAGTGCAGAATCTAGGCCATGGCTAGTTTCTCACAGAGCCAACACTAAACATTTATTCCTCACCCTTTGATACATCTGAGTTCACTTCTGGAGAACAGGGAAAGGTTTAAACTATCTCTGAAACTTTCAGAACATAATTTATGGTCTTGTGTTTCAATAATGGTAGAAAAAAAGGTGCTAAAATAATCTTTCATACCTTTTTATGTCACAGATTTATGATCCTTTAACTTTAAAATTGGAAAACAATGTCTTGAAATATTGAGTAATAGCTAGTTATCACAAAATTAAAATGTGCCCATCATCCTACAAAGTGAAATTCTGTGAGCATGTACTATATGTATCTTTTGAGTGGCTTTACAGACTATCAACTCATTTGATCTCTTCACACCTTCCTTATGAAGTAGGTACTAGGAAATAATCATTATTGTTTTAAGTGCTATTTCCACTTAACAGAGGAGAACAAAAAGAACAATGCTTAAGCAAGTTTCCCAATGATACACAAAAGTTTAATGGGATCAGCATTTAAACCACAGAAGACCAGGCTCAGAAGCCCTGCTTTTATGCTATATTGTGTTAACAGGCAGAAAGTAATTTTAAAGGTATGAAAATGTTTAAATGCAAAGCACACAGTCATAAATTAAAGAATACCCTTTTTGTATTAGTTTAGAATATTACAGATAGAATTAACAGTATTTAGTGTTGCAGCAAAAAGAAAATCATTTGACAACCTATTTGTAAGTAAAACCTCAATTTTTAAAACTTAGTATCATATGTAACAGCTTTAATATCCTTTCCTGATATCAACCACGATTCAGTGATTCAATATCCAACTACTGCATTCTGAGATTGCTATTAGTAATTTCCTTTGAAAAAACAGTAAACTGATGCTCAGAGAAGTAGAGGAACTTGCCCACAGAACTGGTCTGGTCTAAACTTGCCATAGGCTCACTTTACTTGTTCCTTGTCCTCTCCCTTCCACTCATAGGCAAGATATATTTTTTTCATATCTTCTATTACATCTCATAAGGGAGCTCTAGAGGCCTAGTTGGTAAGGAGTTGTGTTTGAATTTACAAGGTGCTTCATGGGAGAAAGATGGGCAAGCTCCTCTCTGTAATTTACAGCTTCTGAAAACATCCTGGAGAGTAAGCTATGAATTAATTGGTTCTAGCTCCATGGCACATAACAACATCATCTCGTAATACAGATTAGAATAGATTACTTGGAAGGATGAACAATAATCAGTATTTCTTTAAGAAGAACAGCCTGTGAGCTTAGTCAGAGCTTCCATCTATTCCCCATTCCCATCTTAAGCCTCTCTTAAGTACTATTTTATTATGCTACATTCTAAACCTGGTGTGAATGGAGAAGTTCTACAGAACCCATTATTAACACATTGGAAGTTTATGAGATGTCAGCACATGTGTACATGACTCTAGAACCGCATCATATAATTTTTATCAGATTTTCACAGAGACTAGGGCCATCAAAAGGTCAACCCCAAATGTTGTGGCGTTGCACTGTTCTTTCACTAGCCACAAAGAGCTATTTAAAATTCAGTCCTTCAGATGCAGTACTCATACTTCAAGAACTCAAGTTACTTGTGGCAACAATAATAAAAAACACCTGGCTTCAAATTGACTGTAGAGAGAGAAAAAAACTCATTAATACAGAATACCCTGCTAAGCAGTCCTGTTCTAGAGACTTGAAGAGTTTTCATGGTGTAGTCCATAGGGGGTTGTGCTGCAGTTCGAATCCACTGGCAGCTCTGTTGGAGAACGCTGGGCAATTTCTGTGATTTACAGCCTCCAAAACCCCACTGCAGGATCAGCCATGAGGCAGTTTCAACTTGTCAGCTTTGAGTTGAAGTTTGATTTGAGAGACTTAAAAAAAAAACACCTCTCAATTTATCACAAAGAACTAATTACTGCAAAGTAACAGGAAAGGAATAAAAAACTGCCTCTAAATTTTTCTTAGTCTGACCAGAACCGTAGATTAACAAGTGTACACAATACAGAAACATGAGCTCTGCGGGGGATTTTTGCCCTACCTTCCCCTTCTTCCTTGATGGACTTTGGTTGAGAGACAGCAAAGCACTGCATAGTTTCATATTTCTGATGTGCTTCCTGGTTATCATGGCCTTCCTCTTCTGAATCTGGCAAAGACTTTACCAGCATCCGGCAATTGAAGGTATGGCTGTTCCGCCTGGGAGGTTCACCAGACCAAGATCCTCCATTCACTGAGCAAGAGAAAAGCAATCCAATATTATTAAGAGTCATTATCAGATTCACGGTTATTCAATGATTAAATGGATGGATTGACAGTTACGTTACACTTATGTTCCTGGTGCTTTTATATGCTCCTAAATACCTTTGTAATGCAGGAGGAAAAATATTTTGGTTAAAGTTTTTAGCAAGTGGGAAAAATTCTTGGGGTTTCCCAAATGTCTTCTACACTTTTCATTTTTCATCTTAACTCCTCCTCTAGTTCTGATCTTGATTATTTATTAAAAGATTACTATGGTTGCCTCTTACCAAGATTTCATAATTTTGATTTCTTAGAAAATAATTTCAATATACTTACATGCTAGTTTTAGATATATTACCTTTTTAAAAAAAATGTAAGTGACACAAATTGTGACATGTATTCTGTGACAAATTCTGTTGAAGGATTTGGACTTGAGACGGACAGAATAAGAGAATGAAGTCCATTCAAACTAATAATTCAAAATCTCACAAGCTGTTTCTGCTTATCCCCTAGTTTCCCACCATAAGATTGCCTGTATTCTCCTCTATACCCAGTCCCAGTCTTTGCTTCTGCCATTCTATCTAAAATGCCTCTTTCTTAAAATCAAAGGTATTCATCCTTTTAGAATGAGTTGTGCAATAGTGAAAGGAAATCAACTACTTCAGGCTCCTATAAAACCTTCTCTTAAAGACCTTCGTTTCTCAAATTCTACAGAAATGTTAGCATACACACTGTAATTTGGCTGTTACCAATTCACAACAGTCTTAAAATGGTTTCAAGTGTATTTCTCATCAAGACTGAAAAGTCCTTGGAAATACTGAGAATGAAATTTATTTTCAAGTGACAAACTACTATTTCACGAGTCTTTTAAGCCTCCTTGGTTTAGTATCAAAGTTATATGTGCAACTTTAATTCAAAAAAGGTAAGGAAAGAAAGGAAAGACAGCATTAATATTGGATTAGGGAAAAGAATGAAAGAAATAAAGAATGGCTGAGTTTGATGATCAAAGGCCAACTTACTTGACAATGAGTAAGTAGCAATCCAATGAGGTGGAGGATCAAAAAGGAAGGAAAAAAAATATCCAAAATAAAATCTGCCATCAAGCCGATTCCAACTCCTGGTGACCCTCCAATGGGTTTCTGAGGCTATAAATCTTTATGGAAAGAGACTGCTCATCTCTTCCCTACAGGGTGGCTGGTGTATCCAAACTGCTGTGCTTCTACTAAGCATTCCAACAAGTAACACACTACACCCCTCAAAATCCCCTCAAACTCACTGCTGTCGAGTTGGAAATGACTCATAGCTAAGCTAAGCTTCCAGTGGTTGTAAATTCAGCAAGGAGACAGGTGGCCTTTCACTCTCAGAGCCAGGGGTGGATTCAAACCGCCAGAAAGGCCTCATCTTTAACAGTGCAAATTTCTACACACTAGGCCGTCAGAGGTCCCTTAGAGATCCTTAAAAAAAAGTATAGACAACAAATACACTCTCAAAAGTCATGGTGAGAAGGTAATTTAAAAGACAAATAGGCATTATGGAGAGCCGCCATAGGTCAACCCCTTGGCCACCTGACAGAAAACACCAGCATCACCAAAACCCTGAAAGAAGGGGAAAAGTAAATAGAAAATGAACTATATTAAATTACTGTAAAACCACAGAAGGAACCAAAGCTAGTTAGTGGTTGTGAACTGTCAAGTGCAAACAGATACTTAGCTGACCCTCCAGCAGATTTTAATAGGCAGATAATTGCACAGGAGTTTGCTCATCCTTCTTCCACAGAGCAGCTAGCAGATTTGAACCATGCACCTCTGGGATTGCAGCTCAGCTTCTTGCCACTAGAGCTTCCTGGTGCTAGCTGCACTAGCAATCCAAAGCTACACACTTCTTATCTACCAGCTGCTTTATGGAGAAAGATAGGCAATCTCCTCCCACCAGGTTTAGAGCCTCTGAAAACCTGCTTGGGGGGGGGGGTCGGCTATGATGCGGTTCTGACTCAAAGGTACTCAACAACATCATTCAAGCACTTGGAATTTTCCCCCCCCTCATCAAAATTTTTTAAAAGTTTATTTATAATGGAGATTATATAAGGTCATCGAAGAAAGAAGTTAATAATTAAGTTGGAAAGTAAAAAAAGGTATGCTAGAAAGTAAAGCAATGAGTTCTTTAGACAAATAAATTAATAAGCTTAAGTCCTTTGAGAATGTATAGTTGAATTAAGAATCTAATCTTTTGGAAAATATAAAAAAGGAATCTCATACCAGAGTCCATACATTTCACATTATTGTTGTAATAACTTTAAACCAAGGGTTATCATATACTAGAAAAGATTAGTCATGATAAACTTTCAGTAAAGGTCTTTGCCTACCTGCATATTGGGTGACAGTAAGACCAACTAATATAAACAATTTCAAGAAAGGAAAAAAAAATATTTGCTAACCTGGAATTTGACCTTATTCTGTACTAAAATATGCACTTCTTTTTTTATCCGTGAAGACATTCTTAGCATCATCAGTTTAAGTGAGAATATTAAAAAAAGAACTACTTAGTAAGTGGGAACAATACGGCAGAGTAGCAACTAAAGTAGGCCTACGCCGTGAATCACCACTTTAAAATATGGTCCTTACTAACCACAAACACTTTTGGACAGCATCTCCGAAATAAGGTGAAGAATTCATGAAATTTGAAACAGGTAGAGTGAGAAAGGAGGCAGCATCTGAAGCTGTTAACTGCAGAGCCAGGGAGAAATGAAAGCAAGCATTTAAGGTTCCTGGGCTAACAGCGTTGAACATGTCTAGACACCTACATGTTCCTTAACCTTTTCTTTATACATGTCGGACTCAAAAGGAGTCAAATCTCAGGAATCATAACACTTTTTAATGGTCACAGAGAAAATGGACAAATAGTCGTCATTGGGTAGAGTGGCGGCAACCTGGGACCTTCTTAAAAGGGGAGAAAAAAAATCCATGAAAATTGCTGTCATTTTAGTAATTCCAACTGAATTATTTATATTTCCATTTAAATATAGAATCTAAGTGATCATTCAATTTCAGTATCTGAAGATCTTTTTTCTATGATTTTTAATCTGAAATTCTTAACATTAAATACTGAAACCTCCCCCTCCAAAAAAAACCAACCCAACCCAGTTCAGTTTACCTTCCCCCCAGTTAATATTTCAGTTTACCTATCTCCAAAGATAATTGTGAGGATGTAGGGTGGGTGGAGAAGGGGAGACAGGCCTAAAAGACAAAAATTTACCTATAGACTTTGGCAGCAGGTTTTTGATGAATTCAGTGTGGTCCCCAACATGAAGAATGGTATAGACACTTTTGTTCATCAGCTCTTCTTGGTTATACCTTAGGTACTGTGTCACATTCTCGGAAACAAATACCACATTGCCTTCCAAGTTCACTACAAAGAAGAACCCATCAAGGGCCTAGATAAAAGGAATAAACTGTTAGGACACAACATAACATCTCATGTAATTACTAAGGTTATAATTCCATTAAGGAAAAACAGAATTCATTCTTGGCTAGAAAAGAGAGTCTTCTCTTGCCCTTCTTGTGTTCTAAGAAACAACTAGTCCATCTGCACATTTTCTTTTGGTGAAATAAGATTATATCATCTTATTAAGTGGGAGAGAGCTTAGAGTAGGGATTTTGGTCACAAACTAAATGACAAACATTAACTTTCAAAGAGATAATCACTGCCAAAGACAACTGTACAGGCAATTTTAAAACTCGACTACTTTTAAAACCCCACTAATGTACTCCATAGGGCTGAAAATGGCTTTCATGTGACCAGTTCAATATAAAGACATTTTGGTTGACAATTTTTCATGCTATAATGAACTTTTGTCCTCAGTTAAAGAATAAATGTTCAGATAAAAGCAGAAAATTTTACTACTTTTAAAGCTGCCAGGGTTTACACTGAAAGACAGAAAAAAAAAAAATCACAGTTAATCTCAAACTTCAAAGAAACAAAAATCCTTTCTGGTTCAGTGTATATGGAAAAGAGTTCCAGGAAGTGCATCTCATTACAGCCATCAAGCCTTCACGTGGACCTCGCCTCCTGTACAACAAGCCCACACCATCCTGAGAGCCCAAAGAGCCCAGGCATTTTCAGCTGTGGCAGTGAGAACTGTTACCTAATTGTGCCCTTCCGTATTGTTTTTCAAACTGTTAAGATGCTGGTTCCTCAACTGCCTAGATTAGGAGACATATCCTGTAGTAAGCCCCAAAACCCAAACCCATTGTCAGTCCTAGTTCTGACTCTTGTGGCCCTACAATTACCCTAGAGGAAGGAGGAGGAGGAGGACTGTTCCATAGAGTTTCTGAGGCTATGACTCTTTATGTGAGCAGGGTAGTGGGCTGCCCTTTGGTGAGCAGCCCAATACTTAGCCCACTGCACCACTGGGGCTCCTTAGTGGCCTCACAGCCTCAGTCTTTACTGTCATTTCAATATAGATCAGGGAAGGAGGAAAGGAAGATCCAGGAAATAAAGACAAAAGTTTAATTTTTTAAGAAGCATGCATTCCATGCCTTAAATACAGTGTCTCATTTTCAGTTAGCTCCTGGGAAGGGGTGGGGATGCTTTATCCTTTTCAATCTACAGTGTAGGCTCTCACAAAGATTAAGTCATTTTATTCAACTCTTGTAACTAGTGACAACCAGAATCTGAATCCATGTGTCCCTGACCCCAAAGCTTAATAAAGCAAAGTGTTCTACTCCAGTATTTATATCTAGCCACGTTTTAATCATGTTCCCCTTGGTTAAAATACCACCGAGAGGTCAGGGAGTGTTCTTCAGCTGTCTCGCCTCTTTTGATCCTTGACACTGACAAGCCATACCTAGAACCAAGATCACCTGGCCTAGCCAGCTTATGTCTCCTAAGTTTTTTCATGATCATTATTTCATGATCCTAAAAATGAATTTTACAGGTATACATTCATATAGACATAAGTACAGGGAGGAGGCCATAAAACTCTTACTTTCTAATTTGTCTCCCCCTGAAATCTTTTGTCTTTGGTTTTATTTTCATCACAATACTAAACATTCTATCAAATAAGAACTGACCATAAGCTACTACTACTTGGCAGCTTTTTAAAAAAAGCATTATTACCACTTAGTTTAAGGTGTTCTTAAATATTCGGTCAAATTTCCTCTATTGTATAAACTACATGCAGTACAAACCAACTATATAGGTCTTCTGAAATATAATGATGCTAAACTAACACTTTACAAGGGAGCTCTGGTGGCTTAGTGGTAAGGAGCTGGGCTGCCAACTCAAAAGTGTACAGTTTGAATCCACCAGCTGCTCCTCAGGAGAAAGAAGAGCAATCTTCCCCCATGTGACTCTGAAAACCAGTTGGAGGCTCAGCTATGAAGAACAACAACCTGTAAGAAATCTTCCTTGTTTGGGTGTGGATGTGCACACGTGTCCATGTGTATGTCTGGGGCAGGGAGCACAGGAAGAAAGGTAGTGCTTAGTTATGTATCTAGTGTCCTTCTTAAACTCACTGCTTTAGACAGCCATTCAACAGAAATGTTCATAATTATATTATCCATAGTTCACTTCTGAAAGTACATGTTGCTTCCTATTGCTTTGTACCCTGGTACATAAATTGATTTGTGGCATAATGAAACTTCAAAGATGAAACTGTTTTATTCCATAACACTGCTGGTATTTTTTTAAACCTCACTATGATACACTGATGAAAAAAGCTGGCATTTGGTTTTGTTGCCTAGCAACCACTACGCTATGATGCAAGCATGAGTGTGCATCTATGCCTAGGAATAGCTCAATAAGAACACATTTTCCTCTGTTTAAATTATTACCCGTAAACAGGGTTAAAGATTTAAATTTAAGAAATAAGTCACTATATTCAAGCTTTACTGCTCCAATATCCTGTCACACAGGTATTAATGCAGTGAATTCTCAGAAGATAATTATGAAACAGCGAAAATGTTGGCTTGATTTTATGAGAAAAGGCCCACTGATCTAACAGTTTTATTTTTATAATTAATTATCATTCTGAAAGGGCCTGAGTCACAGCCTTTTAGTTACTCCAAGCATTTCACGGCACATGGTTAATTAAAAGTCTTCTCAGGATGTTTTTACCCTATTTAACACCCCTCTCCTCAAATATTAACAATAAATCACAAATGAGTAGAAATGTCACAAATGTAGTTATTTAGTTTACCACAATTAAAAAAAAAGATTACTACAATTTTAAAATAAATTTTGTCAATAATTTAAACTTTTTTCTAAAAGACATTATTACCTTTCACGTAATTGTAAAGAGTTCACTAAGTTTCAAATTTTCTTATCACCCTCTAAGAACCAAGTTGGAAACGGTCCTCTCTGGCTTATTGCCTTTGTTGATTATGAAAAAGCAGTTTAAGTGTGTCTTGCTCTCTCTCCCTGGAAATTGAGGTTGGGTATTTTGAAGCCAGTAATTCTAGAGAAGATAAGCGAGTGCAAAAATGGGCTCATTAACAGCCTGCAGGCCATCAGTTCAGTCCAAGCCCTGTCACTGGATAGTTAAGGCAATTTAGGAACAAATTTTACATGTTGTTAATTAAAAGACTGGGCCCATGCTTTCTGGGCCTCACCCATGAAACTAGTTCCTGGAAGAGCGGGTAGAACTGTCCCAGAGGGTTTCGAACCACTCATCTTTTGGTTTGCTTAACCACACTAGGATTCCTTTTTGTGCCCCACCTCTTTCAACTTACATGGTAGACTGTCACAGGACTACAGCTTACTAAAAATAAGTATCACCTTACGCACTAACTAGAAAAATAAAAAAGGAGGTGTAAATTAAGGAACTACTGGTTGATCAAGGTTTTTAAAAGTCTAATTTCTTATATCTATTGTGGCTGCTGCAAGTTCAACCAGTTCTTTACTACGGCCAAGCGTCTGGCCATGTGGTTCTTTTCAGCCTCATCATATCGCTGGCAGAGCAAATTATTCCGGGAACTGACATAAATTTACGTCTCAAGGCTTCTCTGCTTCTTGCTATATATTCACTGACTGCTTTCCCCACTCATCTTAAATTTTAATTGTGGAACAGGTAGAACAAAGCACTTGGTATTTAATTCAACACTAGTTAATAAAACACGAAAGCAGGACTTTACAAAAAGCGAGGTAGTAGTCTGGTCATAAAACTTCCTGAAAGTAATAAAGAACAAGCAGTTAAGCCCAACCATTACCCTTATGATCCTTATCTAAAAAGCTTCTCGTGCCTATCATTTCAATCTTCATTTTGACCAGAATTACATAACTAGTTTGAAGTGGATTTTTTTTTTTAAAGAAAGCATCAACCTTCTGTTTTGTCTTCAAATATTGACCTGTGTATACAGGAATCAACAGACAGATTAAGCAAAATTTAAGTATTCGGGGAACATTTAAACTTATTTTTAATTAGCATAGAATAACACTTGTAAATATGGTTTTCTAAAATAAATGTTCAACTAGCAGTAAAACCCTGCCAATTTATACTTTAATATTGTTCTTGTTATGTGCCATCAAGTCACCTGTGATTCATAGTACCCTCTGTACAACAGCTCTGAACCCTGCTCTACCCTGAGCCAACCTTACCGTCTCCAAGACACCCATCTCCATTACCTCAGTTACTGTGTCAATCCATCTCATCGAGGGGCTTCCTCTCCTGCGCTGTCCCTCCACCTTCCCAAGCAATTATGCCCCTAAGGACTGATTTCTCCTTGTAACATGTCCAAAACATGTCAGACGGAGCTTCAGAAACCTTGCCTCTAAGGAAAAGCCTGGTTTCACCCTCTCCGGAATGAATCAGTCTGTTCTCCTAGAAGTCTGTAGCATATTCAATACTCTTCTCCAGCACCTCAATTTAATCTTATATTGTTAATAAAAGAATATTATATATACGCACATAACAAAAACAAAGGGCATCTGGGTACCTGGTAATGAGTTGCACAGCCAACCCAAAGCTATGCAGTTCAAATCCACCAGCCAATTTGTGGGAGAAAGGCGGCAATCTTCTACCATGTGAGGTATGCTGCTTCTGAAAACCTACTGGAGGGTCAGTTTTGGGTCGTTTCCAACTCACTAATACTGAACAACAACAAACACACACAAGGACCCGAATATTTACAGAAAGAAAAATAGAAAAACTAATAAAATCAAGCTGTAATCTGATGCATTTCAAGCCCCATGAGTGTTGGGGTATAAATTGTGTTCATTGGGTTTTCAAAGGCTGTGATCTCTCAGAAGCAGATGGTCAAATACTTGTTCAGAGGCACACTGGGTAGACTGCCACCCTTTTGTTTGTTCAGCACTGAAGTATCTGCACTGCTCAGGAACTTTATTGTTGTTGGAGTCGCCTGCAACTCATAGTGAGTCTAAGTATAATAATTTTGAACCCTGTATTGAGCCCGTCTCACTGACTCCCAAACACCTACCCCCATGCCCTAGGCACTGTATCAGTCCATCTCATCAAGGGTCTTCCTCTCCTGCACTATCTCTCCATTCTTCCGAACCTGAGGTTCTTCTCCAAGAATCAGTCCTTCCTGGCCACGTGCCCAAAGTATGTGAGACGGATTCAAAACATCTCATGCCAATCCAGCTTATTTCATCAATATCTAATATGTCAATATTTATGCATTAATTTCTTTCTTAATGGCATTCGGTTTTCCTGTATTCATGCTTCTTACATTCCACATTCCAATCATTAGTTTCTGCTTATAATTTCTCCTCCTTTGTGTTTCCAAGTTTGAGTGCTCAGCTTCAGTTGCCATATCTGTTATTCTACTTCTACGCATGCTCTATTGTATATAGGGTTTTCAAAGATTCCACAGAAATTAACAAAGAAAACAAAAACTCAACATGTCACTAGCGTATTAGTAGAGAACTGTGGTGGCTTTGTGGTAAGGAGTTGAACTGGCAGTCTAAAAGCACCTAGTTTGAATTCACCAGCAGCCCTGCAGGGAAAAGACAAGTGGTGTCCTTCTGTGGGATTTAGTGCTTCTGAAAATATATAGGAGGATCAGCTATGAATCTGTTCTGGCTCAATGGTACATAAGAACAACAACAAAAATTTATTACTAGTCAATAGTTCTTTAATCATAGTGTGAAATTAAAGTGCTGATTATTGTAAAATTATATTCACCTAGAAATTAACTTGAATAATGGAAGTTATTATCAGTAACATTTAAAAATACAGAACCAAAAGCTGTGCTACCTCCAGCATCATAGGCCCCAGTGCATCCTTGTCGATGACACTCTGCCCTGTAGATGATACATCTGACTTCTGCACTTCATCTATGTTGGCAGCTGCGGCTTTCTCTGCAACAAACATTAAGTGTGAATTAAACAGCAGTGTTATTTTAAAGACAAAGTGACACAGAAACATTTTTATTGCAATGATTTTAAAAAATAATCTCTAGTGGGATCAGATGAGACTATAAAAAAATTATCTCCCCCACCCCTGCCAGGTAAATGTGGGGAAGGGAGGCTGTTTTAATTTTTCAGCTGAAGAACCTGTGGCTCAGATCCCCTTTTAGGCAGCTGATAAAATGAGTTTAGTGGTTTCATGTTCATCCATTATGCAAATCAAACCAATCTCACTACCATCAGGTTGATTCCAGTTCACAAAGGCTCTATGGGATAGAGAACTGCTACTCAGGGTCTCCAAGGGTGCCATTTTTATGACATCAGACTCCCACATCTTTCTCTCAGGGAGTGGATAGGAAGTAGGTTTGAACTGCTTTTCTGTTAGTAATTGAGCTGAAACACATCACCAGTTTTCCTTTGCTAGTCTCTATGGGCGTTTTTTCCTTGATTACAAAAACTCTGTATAACATATACTATATAAAACAATTAGTTTCTACTTACTATAGTCCCAAAACTAGGATAGCAGAGGGCTTGCTGTTTAGAAACTAAGATTACATATACAAACATAAAATTGCACACATGTAAAGAATAAAAAAGATTCTTAATAGGCACCATGGATGTATACATAAGGCACTTTATAATGACTGCCTGACTCTCAACCTGTTCCATTTCTATTTACATTCACACTTAAAATAACTCGGAAGATTTAGTTGCTGACTTGTTTCAAAATGCTTAATGATTTAATGAAGAAAGAAATAGTTATGCAGATGATACAACCTTGCTTGCTGAAAGTAAACAGGATTTGTCAAAGATTATAGACTTCAATATGGATTGCATCATATCAATATCAAGAAAACAAAATTCTTAACACTGGACCAATGACTACATCATGACAAATTGAGAAAATACTGAAGTTGGAAACAATTTCATTTCTGCTGGCTCTATTATCAATATCCACAGTAGCAGTGGCCAAGAAATCAAAAAAGATTTGTTGCACTGGAAAAATCTGCCGTCAAGAACCTCTCCAAAGTTCTAAAGAGGAAGGCTGTAACTTTAAAGAGTAAGGTGTGCCTGATCCAAGCCATGGTATTTCCAATTGCTTCCCATGCATCTTAGAGTTGGAAAATGAGTAAGGAAGACAGAGTAAGAATTGATGTTTTTGAACTGTTATGTTGGAGAAGAGTACTGAATACCCCTTTTCCAAAAGAACAAACAAGTTTGTCTTGAAGCATGTACAAGCAGGATGCTGCTTAGAAGTAAGGATGGTGAAACTTTATCTCACACATTTTGGGCATGTTGTCATGTGGGATTAGTCCTCGGAAAAAGACATTATGCTGGGAAAAGGTGGAGGGTCAGAGAAAGACTTCCAATAAGAAGGAATGACAAGTGATTGTAACAATAGGCTCTAGCATGTGGGTGACAGTGAGGACAGGGCAGAGTTCAGTTCTGTGCTGTTCATAAGGTCCCTATGAGTCTTAGTTGACTTAAAGGCACCTACAACATCAGCAGCAGGAGTCCAGAGAATTGTAATGGCTGCCCATCTATCTAGTCCAGATTTGCATAATAAGTTGTCCTAAACTGGCCACTTTTAGGCTCACGTGGCCAGGAAGATGTGCCATCACGAACATTTCTGTGAAAAAGCTTCAGTCAAAATAGAGGCACATTTTCGTAATATATGCACACTAATTATTTAAAGAACACTGAAAAAAATTTAATGTAGAACAGATACATATTAACAACTTGCTAGAAAACAACACAAACACAAAGTGCCAATTATTTGTACCTGAATAAATTATATCCTTCTTTACACTGCATCTTATCAATTTAACTTAATGCAAAAAAAAAAAAAAAAGAGAGAAAAGAAAATGGCAAAAGCTTAATTTGCAGCTCCCCACATACAGCATTCTAGAGCACTTTCGCCATGATTATTTATCAGTGGGAAGGGGGAAGATGATCTGTCCAAATTTAAGCTCTGCCACTTATCACTCAGAACGAGTCCATCAATTTCTTAGGTCTTGGTTTCCTTATCTATCTTCTTTATACCATAAAGTGTACGTCATGATTAAATGCAATGGTATGTAAAACACACTTTTTATAAAGTGGGTAACAAATATAACTTACCGTCAATATACCTGTACTAGGTCTTTTATACAGAGTTCAAAATTTAGTAATGTCTTTGTAGGGCTTTTCCTAAGCAACTTATAGCCATTTCAAGAACTTGCCCACACATCTAAACCATCTCTCAGATCTAACTCTGTGTACAGACCACCTGACTTGTTGTTAGATGCATCATGAATTGCCATGGCTGTTAGTCCTCATCCCTAGTGCTTTATTGTTGGCACTGAGTGCTTGCCATACCTGTAGGCTGTGCCTCATCCTGATTCTTCAGTTACCCTCAGTGGAGCAGAAAATATTTCCAGCTCTCAGACCACACGAATGGCTTAGACAATTACAATATATAGCCCCTACCCCTTTCTCATTTTCCTAACATCTTTTCCTTTGGGGGGAAAAAAATCCCACACAAATGCAATTAGGAATACTCTCTTTCTGGCCAGTTCACATTTCAATTTCTACCCATCAATCCACAGATACAATTCACCCCATCACCTATTACTTCACCTGATTTTCAGAAGGTATTTCCCTACAGGACTGGAGCACAAGTTCCTGGTCTCTTACTGCTGTCCATGGTGAGCCCTCATTGGCTCCCACACAATGGCCTGTCAGGCTGTACTACCTACCGCTACCTGGATGTGGACGCAGTGCATGTGCCTCTGGATGGCTTTGCACCGTGGAACTCCCAGCACACCTTAGGCCTACATACCGAAGTTCAGCATTAATATTTCATTTTGAAAAACAAGGAGTAACAGCATTATTTGTGCAGTCCAGCTGCTTTGCTGTTACTTTGTCTTTAGTGTTTTAGCATTCAACGTGCAGGGACATGTGTGCTGACCACAGGAAGAGTGACATGGAGTCCTTTTTTCTGACTCCTTCTCACAGGGACAGTGTGCTCCTATCAGTAACACACTTAGCAGTTCCAACAACCCGCAAATTGCCATAGCGTACTTTAGAAGGGAGGTTACCAGAATCTGAAGTAGGAACATGCAGAGATTAAGTTTTCTTTGCATGTGATTCTGATATATCTTCCTAGAATGATGACCCCAGCTGTCTTTGTTTCCTGCAATGAGACATCTTGCCCTCAGGCTGCCTCCGACTCACTGTGACCCTACTCTGTAAAACAGAATAAAACCCTGTGACATCCTGCAACACCCTCACACTCTCTGCTGCTCTTTAAGCCCAGTGGTGTGGCCACTAAATCAATCCAGCTTGTTGATAGTCGTCTTCTTGTTTGCTCTCTACTTTTCTAAGTATGTCCTTCTCCAGGGTCTGGCCACATCACACCCATGTGAAGGAAAGTTTCATGAAAGAAAACTTACATTCTTAATGTCTAGTACCACCCCTATTCCAGAGTAGGTACTTACTGGTAGACTGGGTCCGTATCTTATATATAAAAGCCATTGGACACAAAGGTGGGTGAAGGAAGAACTGATTTCCCCCCACAGCCTCACGTGCCCTCCAGGTTGCACGGAGAAAAATAGGAACAGGCAAGGCAGAGCTCACAAATATGAGGGAAAGTTTCCTGAAGAAAACTCAGCCTTAACTTTCAAATCATCTTGAGCCTTAGTAGCTTTCAAGACTGTTCATATTGCTCTTGGGTCAAAGTTCTCTAAGCCTTTCACTACAATTGGTGGTTTCATTAATTTTAAGGACTGTGCTTTTTAGATTAACATTAGGGAGACTAAATTATGAGGCAACTGATGCTTATCACAAAGGGAACATAGTAATTACAGCTGGTCACTAGAAAACAGTAAAGTATCGGTCATGAGAATCTGCTATCAAAAAACTAGACTTGAATTTTTGCATGTAATGGAAGCAGAGGGCACAATCCTGGTCATACTAGAAAAGGGCAGGCTAAACAATTAAGTTTAACCTAATGGAACCAACTTAGGGTCCAACTGCAGGGACTCTAACCTCAAAACAGAGGAAAATGGCTAGACATAATTGAGAATGTTAACCATCCTATTACATGTTCAACATCATAAACTACAAACTCATGTATGAATTTATATTTCATTTCTATTAAATACCACAGACTGCATCTGAATTGGGTTCAGCAAGATACACAAATGGATGGCAAAAGCAATGGCCTTACAAAGCAATGATAAGAATGAATACGTGGCAGCAAAACTCTGCTTAGAACTTAAAGCTAGTGCTGAACTTATGAAATGTTTCATTTAAAAATATTTCAGGGAAAGAATTACCAACTCTGTTCAATGTTCAGTCTTAAAATTAAAAGGAGGAAAAAGAAGAGTAGTGGTGCAGTGGGAGGACTGCAGGGAGAGGGTGTGGGAAGAAATGAAGGGAGTCCTCTGAGATATACTATGAAGAGAACTGGACTTATACTGGTATCTTGTTGGAGCATTTCAATCATGAGGGTGCTATTTTCATGGCCAGATATAAATAAGCTTAAAACCTCAGATATATTTATACATCTGTAAGTACAGCATTACTATACTAAAATACACTATTTAATATTTTTAAATTAGGCCGTTTTCTCAGCAGTCACAGATTATATTTACTCGTCTATATTTTGCAGCCATTAGCCATCAAAATATATTCTGTTACAAAAATACCCTTCAGTAAGCTCAAGAGTGGAAAGCTTGTCCCAGAGTGTCATATGATCAAACCTCATGAAATCTCATTATTACAGATGGAAGGCTTAAATTGGAGAAAGAGAGGATAAAATTTAATTTTCAGAGTCTAGAAAAGGCGTCTTCCTTCATGCCCTGACTTCATAGGTTTCTCCTGCTGCATTTTAACTAAGAATATATTCTTTTTAGAGAGACTGTAAGAGAATAACAATGAAAATAATATTTCCTCCTCACCTCCAAATG